CCGAAATTGACAAACAAAAAAAACGTCCTGATATTTTTTACGACGCGATCATGTCTGGGTTCATGAAATCCCCCCCCCTCTATAGCCTTAGGTCGGGCCCGTCCCTCTACAGGGTGATTTTGGACGAAAAATGATAAACAACATATTCAAACATACGCAAGCATTGTCCAAACAAATAATTGTAAAAACCGTCCCCATACTTCGGCGGTGGACAAACCCCTCTTTAGTAAACCTCCCTTTAGTGAAAACGGCCTGGGACCGAAACCGACGGACCTGGACCCGCAAAAATGGCGGCCGCGACGCCCTCTCGCGAACCGAAAACGGCCAATTCCTCAATCGACGTGTCAGGGTAGGAGGTCTGTCCAACTCCGAACACAGCCCCCTTCTTGGCCGCACCCGACCCTCCGGCGCGCCGCCGAGGGTCCACCGGCGCCGGGCACACGTTCGGAGGGACGGCGAACGGGCTGAAGTCGGGCGCTGTCAGGAGTGCCCTCCGGCCCACGGCGCTCGCGGCCCCTCGCGCCCCGAGCCTGGCCTCTGGATCTCTCGAAGGCCTCCACGAGCATCGCTCCTCGATCGTCGATCCCTTCCCTCGATCTCGGCCCTACCTCCTCCTCCTCCTCCTCCTCCTCCTCCTCCTCCTCCTCCTCCTGCGCCTCCGCTTCCGCCTCCTCCTCCTCCGTTTCCTCGGGGTCCGGGCAGATGAGGTCGGAAGGTCGCGCCGCATCGCCGATGCACGGGCGAGGCGGCACGATCCTCTGGCCCCTCCTGCTCGCACCACATGTGGGGGGCCTGGAGGGCCCTTCTGGGGCCTCGTCTTAGGTCGGGCATGTCCCCCTACAAACGGATTTTGGAGGACAAATGAAAAATTGCATCTCAAAAAAATGCCCTAAAATACTCCCCAGGACAAATAAAAATGCATACTAAAAAATGCAAGCATGGAAGGAACATCGTCCCCAGATGATTTGCTTGACTGTTTTCGACTGCTCCTCCTGTAGAGGGACAGGCCCGACTTGAGCCTCGCCGGGGGTGCCCTGGAAGCCGCCCGCGCGTGCCCGGGCCGACGACGCGGGGCCGAGACGTGGGCCAGAGCCACTCTTCTGGCCACGCCGGACCCAGACCTCCGACGATGCGATTTCTGTTGAGTGCGCGGCCCCAGGATCGGTGATCCTCAGAGCGTGTGCTAGCGCCAACGGGTGCTTGTCAATGGAGACCGTTCCATGCGGCACAGGTGATGTGATGATCTACTGGCGGAGCCGAGCGGGGTAAACACGCCGTGGGCCGACTCACGTCCTGGGTAGCATCGACAGGAGGTCCCGACCCCTTGCAGGTGGAGGTCTCTCTACACCCTGCAGTGCGCGGCCCCAGGAGGTATGGTGGCATGATGGCTGTGAACCCTGAGATTGGAGCAGGGACCGACCGTCCCGGTATTCCTATAGGCCTGCCACGGCATGTTCTTAGAACCCGAAATGTTCCTACAACCTGCACAAGGCGTGTTAAGACAAGACGGCCTCGGCAAGAAATGCCTCGGGGGGGGGGGCGCCTGCGCCGCCCGGCCTCGGGCCCCCCCCCCCCCTCTCGACCTCTTTGCGTCGTCGCAGCAGCAGGAGGAGGAGGGGGAGTGGGGAGGAGGAGGAGGCGGAGGAGGAGAGGAGGAAGGAGGAGGAGGAGGAGGAGGAGGGGAGGAGGAGGAGGATGAGGAGGAGGAGGGGGAAGGGGAGGAGGGGGCGGAGGAGGAGGGGGAGGAGGAGGAGGAGGAGGCAGGAGGAGGAAGGAGGAGGAGGAGGAGGGAGGCGGAGGAGAAGTTCTCAGAACATTCTTTCGTGGGCCTATAGGGACGCCAAGACGCTTGGCCACTGCTTCAGAGATCCTGGCGTCTCGCTCCCGGCGATCTCGCCCGGCTTCGGGCCCCCCGCGGGGCCCCCGCAGGTCGATCGGTCCGGAGAGGTGGCGCAGAGAAGGGGGTCCACACAGAGGAAGCCAGTCCACCAGAAACCTTCCACAAGGAGGAGGAGGAGGAGGAGGAGGAGGAGGAGGAGGAGGAGGAGGAGGACGGAGGAGGAGAACGGAGGACGGAGGAGGAGAACGGAGGAGGAGGAGGAGGAAGAGGAGGAGGAGCCCCGAGAGGCTCGCGGGAGGCTCGCGGGAAGCAGCGGTGGGCGGCGCGGCCCCGAAGGCGACGAAGCAGGTGCCACAGGAGACCCCAGGGCGTCGACTGATTTTTGGTGTGGGAGCGTCGCGCTTTCCAAGAAACCCCCCCAGGGCGTCGACTGACTTCTGGTGTGGGAGCGTCGCGCTTTCCACAGCAAACCCAGGGCACCCTGGAGGCAAGCGGTGTGTTTCTTGGCATGGGTCTCCACTGTATCCCCGCGCCCCACGGGGGTAGCTCTGCGCCCCGCATCCGTTTTGAGGCCCCTGGGACCCGACATAGTCAGCGGGCCTCGGGGGCCCAAACCAGACAAAGAAAAACACATGGAGTCCCGGAGATCCAATGCATCGTTTCTACTCCCTGCGGGGCCCCCAAGAAGGTCCAGACCCTTTCCCCGGGACCCGCCTTGTGCCCTGAGAGTCGTGCCATGACGGTCCTGGAGGCCAAAGACGACGACCAACCTTCGCATGAGGTTGAGGAGGAGGAGGAGGAGGAGGAGGAGGAGGAGGAAGAGGGGGATGATGATGATGATGATGATGATGATGATGATGATGATGATGATGATGATGATGATGCTGATTGATGATGATGATGATGATGATGATGATGATGATGATGATGATGATGATGATGATGATGATGATGATGATGATGATGATGATGATGATGATGATGATGATAATGATGATGATGATGATGATGATGATGATGATGATGATGATGATGATGATGACGAAGATGATGATGATGATGATGATGATGATGATGATGATGATGATGATGATGATGATGATGATGATGA